AGCTACACTTTCCCTCCTCTCACTAAGCATGCAGCTTGAGAATGAATCTAAAATGGATGCTGTCCAGTAGGTGGGAGGGTCTGCTAGGGAGGCTGTGCTGCTAATTGGCTGGAATGTGTCTGTTGACTGTGAGGTACAGGGTCAAAGTTTACTCAATGATGACGAATAGGGGGCGGATCGAACCGCGCATATGTTCGCCCGCCGTGGCGAACGCGAACATGCTATGTTCGCCAGGAACCGTTCGCCAGCGAACCGTTCGGTACATCACTACCTGTTATTACTCTCTATAGGGCAAGAGTTACTGTCTAGTGTACATGCTACATACATACTATATTCAATGTGGTCTTTTGCTACGTCCTCACTTTTCTTATCTGGCATGATTGACTGTATAGAACACATGACATGTATTTTACTAGGTATGGTTCCTTCCTATAGAGTTTGATTTTACCTACTTTTATTTCCCTCTCCCCTGTGATTCAGAATTTGATCTCTTGATACATAGTTACAACTTTTTAGACAGGATACTTGACGAGAGCTTGGGCGCATTCCTTACAGAACTTTTATTTAATATCTCTGTGGCAATACATATATAAAGTATTTTTCTGCCCTTGATTAACATCTGATTTTTTTTTTCTTTTTTTTTTTCTGTCATGCATTGACACTTTCTATTACTATCTTCACCAGATATATTTTATCCAGTCAGTTTGTAACACACTTCTACTGCTCTCATATATAGTAGTGTAATACATAGCAGAGCTCTAGTCTATTTTAAGACAGCATTTTGGATTGGCTTCACCCAATAGTTGTGTTAGGGTATTACGCTAATTTAGCTCATACTAGAGATAGGATCACATTTTTTTATATCTTTGTTTTTCTTATGTATTTCTATTTATTTACTGGGGGTTAGGTTGTTTATTCGTCATAATTTTCTATTATCACCAGGTAGCACACTCTCTTTTATTTTGGTACTGTGTGTTTTGTTTTTAGAAGCTATTACCCTGCTAATTAAAAAAATATATCTGTGTATTATGTTTTTGGAAGTATTCATCATATTTGCTGTTTAAATCTGATATAATATAATCTGATAAAACCACTTCTTCAGGTGGAGAATTCCATATCCTTTTGTTTTTATTGTAAATATACATTTCCTTTTCCTTAGACTAAAACGCTTTTCTAACAGTCTAAATGCATGACCGTGTGCCCTATGTATAATCCTGTTTATAAAATTATTTATATTGCCCACGGAACTTGTGTGCTCAGGGCTTGGTGACTGCCGTGACTGGAGTGATTGCGCTCAAATGGCACTAAAATGGGTCTCTCCTGGTGCTGTTGTTCCAGACAGGTCCAACCAGTAGCTGTTTCCTCTTCTCTCTGAGGTGCTGGGCTGTGAGGCGCATGGTCAGCCTTGAGATCTGGGGTCACGATCTGCATGCGAGCAGCGATGCTTTGTTTAGAAAGCATCAAATAGCTCATTCAGGCTGCTCTCAATACTCATCTTCCCACCACATGGATCAGAGGAGCATGGGGCGCCCGCCATTTCAGAGGTAACTTCGTAGGTGCCGCTCTCTTTTAGCGTGGCTGTGGAGCCTCTGGGGTGTAGTCTGGGATCACCTCCACTGATCCAGAGGGGGAGGAGGGCGGGGGGTCAGCAGTAGGATTCAGCATCAGTCCAGTATCTGGCGGGTCGGGAGAGTGGCCGCCTCTCTCGACCAGCACCAGCTGCAAAATTTGAGCCCCGGGGGGCATTAAACACGGCTAATTCTAAGACTAGATTAGGAGCTTGTTCCAGATGCGTCTAGCCACCATGCAGGTCAGGCCCCACCACCTTAATGCCTCTATTTATACATGTCAATACCTTACTGGCCTTAGCAACTGATGATTGACATTGAATATTGTTACCTATTTTGTTGTCTATAACAATTCCCATATCCTTCTTATATGTTGTTATCCCTAATTCACTACCATTTAGGGTGTAAATTGCTTTTTCATTCTTTACCCCAAAGTGCATAACTTTGCATTTTTCTACATTCAATTTCATCTGTCATTTGAGTTCCCAGTTCCCCAAGCTGTCTAAATCCCTCTGAAGCAAAGCAATATCCTGCTTACGTTGTATTACTTTACATAGTTTTGTGTAATTTGCAAACTCAAAACATGACTTTCAATGTCTATTTCATGATCATTTATAAATATGTTAAATAAAATGGTCCCAGGAGATAGCCCTGGGAGACAGAACTTACCAATTTTGTCCAGTTTGAAACTTTACCATTGATGACAACTCTCTGTATTCTATCTTTAAGCCTATGCTGTACCCAGGAACAAGAATTTTCATGTAGACCAATTTCTTTTTGTTTGAATGCTAACCTATTTTGAGGAATTGTATCAAATGCCTTGGCTAAATCAAAGTAGATTACTTCGATGGCAACACCCTGATCTATACTTCTACTTACTTCTTTATAGAGTTAAATTTACCTTGATATGTGTTTCATAAAACCATGCTGAGTATTACTAACAATGTTCTTCCCAATGAATTCTTGAATATTATCCCTTAATAAGCCTTCAAATATGTTTCCAGCCACAAAAGTTAAGCTCACAGGTCTATAATTTACAGGCAAGGATTTTGAACCCTTTTTTTAGGGGGATATAATATAGGAACCATATCTGCCTTCCTCCAAAACTCAGGTACAATTCCTGGAAGAAAATAATCGTGAAAGATTAAATACAGAGGTTCACTTATTTCCACACTTAGCTCTTTAAGCCCTTGTGGGTTAATACTGCCAGGCCCCAGAGCTTTATTTGCATTAACTTTCTTTAGCTGAGGTAGCACCTTGTCTTGAGTCATCCTATCCTAATTTTTCTGCAACTTTTTTTTCAGCAATCATTTGCATATCTCTTGCCAAAGAAACCAGCCTGTTACTGTTTCTGATACATGGAATCCTGCTGCGTTGATAGATGCCTCTCTTTCAAACACTGGATAAGCAGAAGCAAGGACCTCAGAGCCTTCTCTAAAACAACCACATAGACTCCTGCTTGGGTGGTGCCTTTTGTTCTGAGGACCGAAGTAGAGACTCACCTGGACCACTGACTGAGGCTGGAGATGGAGATGAGTATTTCTGTTCTGCTGGATCTTCCGCAGCTTATTGATGCTTATATTTTTGTGCATTCTCAATTTTTTCTCATAGTTTGTCATTTTTTGTTATCACTCTTTGAAAGTGATATTAGTATTAGGCAGACTTGTGTAGTGATAATCCTGGCTGGATAATCAATTAAGTTTGGTTCAGTTTGGCAAGTTTCATATCATTGATGAGAACTTAGCCCCCCTGCTGCCGCCTTGGTTAAGGGTACCATTTGTTGTAATGTAGTCTATGATCCTCCTGGTGATACCAAACCTAATAAAGGTTGCACTTTTTCTATATAGCCTACTTACTCTCATTCACACAATAGTAATTTGTTTATATTACATCACGTTTTGTGTGCATTGTGTTCTTTATCTAGGGACCAACAGGTGTGGTACTCTTTTAGTGTCACACATTCTTATCCCCCACTGTTCTCCTAGGATTTTGATCTTGAAACATAATGCTAAAAAGTGCAGTTTATCTAACATGTCTTGCCATTCCTTAATCATGAAATCTACTCATTATTGCTGATGTGTCTTTTGCTGACTTTGTTGTTGCCAATGCACTAAAAAAAAAAGAGAGAATAACAAAAGATGCTGCAAGGATTGAATTACTGTTTCAAATGCTACAACTTTGCAAAATGTGGCATGATTGTATTTTATAGTAGCCAGAGAAATCAAAATCACTACTCAAAAGTATATTAGTAGAAAATGCCTCCCCCAGGCTATGTACCTATTTTGACATTTTTATTTAACCATTTTATCACAAACATTGGTAAACTATTGAACTAATTAGTATTTTTCTTTTCACACATGCATTATTTTGGAAATTCACAGACCACACGTGTCTCATACAGTCCAACACCATAGTCTGCTATAGTTTTCAATTACACTGATATCCCACATGTACTTTTTCACTAATCTTATCTTAATCCAAGCCTTAATCCAGCTTTTACTCTTCTGCATAATTCTATCCAAAATTCTATCCATTATTCCACCACTTTCTTCCTGTAATCCAAACTATTTTCCAAATTCTATCCATTATACAACCCCTAATACTCTCCATAATCCAACCTATGATTCTACCCAAAATCCTACCCGTACTCCTGCCCTAATCCAGCCCCTAAAACATCCCCTAATCCTACCTCAGAGACAATCCCTCTGCTGATGTCAGTACTGACATCAACACTCTGTACTGTGTGATTGCAACATGTAAGAGCTTCTTCTCATGCTGCAGCGCTATGCTCATTATAGGGCTCTCCCCGATGCTGAGGGGACAAGAGCCTATTTCAAATTAGCATTTTGCACATTTTTTAATGTACTATTAGCAAGGCTTACTTTTAACGCTAAACATAGCTCATCTCTCAGTCTGAGGTTACTAACTGTGACCCCAGCTGACAGAGGAAACCCTTAGGTATCACCACGAGTTGAATTGAATTTTTCAGCTGAGATGTCCTCCTATTGTGTATTTCAGTATACATGCAAAATCAAGCATGTTTGTGTCCCAGTATGATGATTGAAAAGGAGATTAATTGTGGTATACATTATAATTATTGTTCTGAAATCCTGTATTGCATTATTATTGTTCACAAGAGATCTGTTGTAAACAGCTATTATTTTATGTTTAAGTAGTGCGGATGTTATAAATAACATAGAATAATATAAGTAGTAAAACATACATTAATATAACTGGATGTTATGAATAACATAAAATAATATAACTAGATACTTAGTGATTAGTTTTGACCAGGGGAAAATATTCACTATGATATGCAATGCATCACACTTCTTTTTGTATTTAAAAAAAAAAAACATGGCATTTTGTTCTGGTCTTTCTTTAAGATATATAGTACTTACAACGATGCTTAAATGCATTAATGGCTGTTTCAGCTTCTCTGGAGCTATGATATAATTGCAATTATGATAGAAACAATGATGCTTTAATAAAACATTAGGAACTCTGATTAATAAGCTGTTTTGCAGGCAGATACCACCATGAGTCCCATGGGTTTTTTTGTGAGCAATTTGTAGTAATGATGCTGATTTGCACAGTGCCAGAGTTTATGTTGTAAATAAATGAATTGATTACCCAGGAGCAGTGGTCTCAATGTAGTGTTGTTTTGCTTTGTTTTGTTATATATCAGTCTCAGTATGGAGCTGTTTTGAAAGCTGTAACCACAATAGTGTCACCTTGGGATGCACAAATATGGAAATTTAAAATTAATTATTTGGGCCTGCATATTCTAAAGAAAGCAAATGAAGTCTGTTTGCATCCTGATAAATATGTATGCTAGTTACTGGCAATAATTCAGCAAAAGATATATCAAAGTGAATTAACACATGTCAAGAAAATTTGATAGATTGAATTATAGCTACATTATTTTCACAATTCCTTCCTGTTGTGACACAACAACCCAATTGTTTCTCACTCACAGAGCCTAATCTATTATCTTGAAATTCTTGAGTGCTCATAGGTGCTGAATATTCTTAATTCTTTTTCTTATATTGTTTAGCTTTGAAATCACCACTCCATAATGCATTTTATAAAATGTAGTACATATTGTATAACATAATCATTATGATAACAATATCATGTACAAAATAATACACAAGAGCTTTAATTTACTAGGTCTATTTTTTTTTTTTTACTGCTTAGTTGTCTAAGCATCATAACAACATATATTTGTTGCATAGATTATAGTGCAAGGAGGTCCTCTGTCACCAGTAACACAGTGGTATACAACTACTGAAATTTACAGATTTTATTTGCTGTTCGATGAAGTTATAATATGCAACCTTTTCATTGCTCTATATCTTCCAATAATCTATTCACCTTGTACTCTTGGTGGGCAAATGTCATGCATTACATGGCCAAACGTATGTGCACACTCACTTCTAATTATCGGGTTCATGTGTTTCAGCATCATTCATTGCTAAAAAAAGGTGCATACAATTCAGCACATATCCATGAAATGTCCATAGACAAACATTGGCAGTACAGTAAGTTATCATGAAGAGCTAAGTTAATTTGAACATGCACTCTCATGGGCTGAAACATTTGCCACATTTTGTTTTGGAACAAATCAACTGTAGCAGGATAAACAGCCCAACCATTACTTGATATACCAAACAAACCCTACAAAGTAGTGAAGCACGTAACACATAATCATCTGTTGCATCACTCACTACAGCAAGCATGTCAAACATGTGGCCCGCAGGCTGCATTCAGCCACAATAAGTATCTTTATGGCCCAGGGCCAGACTGGCCTACTGGGATACCAGGAAATTTCCCAGTAGGCC